TGAGAGGCGGGCACCTGCCGGGCACAGTGCAAGGACTGCTTCAGCTCCTGGCGCTCTGAGGCCAGCGCGGCCGTGGTAGAACTGCCCTCGTTTGCAAAGGAAGGAACCGAGGACCCAGAAGCTGGTTCCTGTCCGCCCGGCGAGTCTGCGGCAAAGCCGGTGTGAGCAGCCAGCCCGTGCCTCTCCGGCACTTTCCCTGCCTTCATGGTACCAGGCCGGTCAGCAGGCTCTGCCAGCTGCAGCCTCCAGCCCAGCCCCCGAAGCAGGAAATGTGTGGGTGATTCCGACAATGAGAGGAAAGGGAGGCAGCCGGTGGGAAAGGGCTGAGGGGGCCTCGGCTGTAGCGCTGGGGGCTCAGGGAGCCAAAGCCAGGCCCCACTGCCCCAGGCCCCGCTCCCCCAGGCCCCGCTCCCCCAGGCCCCGCCCCTCCAGGCCCCGCCCCTCCAGGCCCCGTTCCCCCAGGCCCCCCTCCCCCAGGCCCCACTGCCCCAGGCCCCGCCCCCCCAGGCCCCCGCCCCCCCAAGCCCCGCTGCCCCAGGCCCCGCTGCCCCAGGCCCCCCTCCCCCAGGCCCCGCTGCCCCAGGCCCCGCTGCCCCAGGCCCCCCTCCCCCAGGCCCCGCTGCCCCAGGCCCCCCTCCCCCAGGCCCCGCCCCTCCAGGCCCCGCTGCCCCAGGCCCCCCTCCCCCAGGACCCCCTGCCCCAGGCCCCCCTCCCCCAGGCCCCGCTGCCCCAGGCCCCCCTCCCCCAGGCCCCGCTGCCCCCGGCCCCGCTGCCCCAGGCCCCCCTCCCCCAGGACCCCCTGCCCCAGGCCCCCCTCCCCCAGGCCCCGCTGCCCCAGGCCCCCGCTGCCCCAGGCCCTGCTCCCCCAGGCCCCGCTCCCCCAGGCCCCCCTCCCCCAGGCCCCGCTGCCTCAGGCCCCGCTGCCCCAGGCCCCCGCTCCCCCAGGCCCCCCTCCCCCAGGCCCCGCTGCCTCAGGCCCCGCTGCCCCAGGCCCCCGCTCCCCCAGGCCCCGCTGCCCCAGGCCCCGCTCCCCCAGGCCCCCCTCCCCCAGGCCCCGCTGCCCCAGGCCCCGCTCCCCCAGGCCCCCGCTCCCCCAGCCCCCGCTCCCCCAGGCCCCGCTGCCCCAGGCCCCCCTCCCCCAGGCCCCGCTGCCCCAGGCCCCCCTCCCCCAGGCCCCACTGCCCCAGGCCCCGCTGCCCCAGGCCCCGCTCCCCCAGGCCCCGCTCCCCCAGGCCCCGCTCCCAGGCCCCGCTGCCCCAGGCCCCGCTCCCCCAGGCCCCACCCCTCCAGGCCCCGCTCCCCCAGGCCCCGCTCCCAGGCCCCGCTGCCCCAGGCCCCGCTCCCAGGCCCCGCTGCCCCAGGAGAGCCCATCCCACGTCCAGCAGGGAGTCGGGCTGTCCTCTCCTCTCCTCTCCTCTCCTCTCAACTTGTCAGACTCGTGTACGTCCATGGCCCCTCGGGAGGCAATGCCTCACCCCCAGGCACGGCCATCACGGGCGCACGCCCTCAGTGCAGGGCCGGCCGTCCATCAGGCAGCCGTGACCTTCTCCTCAATGGGCTACGACTGGGGCAGAGCGCGCCTTTCTCCACACTCCCCGACCGAGGCGCTGCGAGCTCCTCCGTGGACAGATGCCGCCCCGGGACGGGGGAGGCCCGTGGGGGACGGGGGAGGCCCGTGGGGGGCGCAGGAGGCCCGTGGGGGACGGGGGAGGCCCGTGGGGGGCGGGGGAGGCCCGTGGGGGACGGGGGAGGCCCGTGGGGGACGGGGGAGGCCCGTGGGGGACGGGGGAGGCCCGTGGGGACGGGGGAGGCGCGTGGGGGACGGGGGAGGCCCGTGGGGACGGGGGAGGCGCGTGGGGGACGGGGGAGGCGCGTGGGACGGGGGAGGCCCGTGGGGGACAGATTGGCCCGTGGGGGACGGGGGAGGCCCGTGGGGGACGGGGGAGGCCCGTGGGGGACAGATTGGCCCGTGGGGGACGGGGGAGGCCTGTGGGGGACAGATTGGCCCGTGGGGGACGGGGGAGGCCCGTGGGGGTCAGATTGGCTCGTGGGGACGGAGGCGGCTGTCACGTGATGCCTCAATGGGACGGTCTGGCAGGAAGGATGATGACCTTCAGCTGCTTTCTTGCCCGGGTCAGGCAACAGCATTTCCCAGCAAAATGCAATTAAACAAAATTCCACAGTTGTTTTTTTTCAAAACAATTTGATTTCGTTTCTTTTATTAAAAGACAACATGACCTTCCCGAGGGCACAGTTTGGGCTCGGAGTTCCCGTCAGACTTGTGCAATGCATGCGTGTTTACAGGATCCGAAGGCAGGTCGGGCGCGGTCCCCGGGGACGGACTGGCATCTCCCTTTAAGTCCCAGCCTGATGCAGTTCTGTGGTTTAGGCGTCAACCAAACGTGGACAGTGCTTGGATGTGCAATTGGGAGGAGAGAGCAAACCCCCCGCCCCCCGGCCCTCACAGGCACCAGCCAGGCCGCTGTGATGAGAACACGAGCCTCGAGGCTGCCCCGCTCAGCGCTGACCTCGCCGCGGGCCCGGGGATGTCCGGGAGCCGCCCGCTGGCCCTGCGCGAGGCGCCGCTGCTCCTCCCATTGGTCAGTGCGCTCTGCCGCCGAGAGGCACCGCGGGGGCCGCGCCGTGTTAAGGATGCCGAGAGAACACAGCAGACAGAGGCCGAGGAACACGCCTCATAAAGCTCGGCTCACACGCAATTCACCAATAAAGGCAACCCGCTCCACCGGGGCCTCCTGAGGGGAGGCAGCCGGGGTCTGGACTCCTGGCGGCCGCTAGGAGATGCGTGAGCGTAGTCCTGGTGTGGTCTTGGCGTGGTCCTGGCGTGGTCCTCACGTGGTCCTTGTATGGTCCTGGTATGATCCTGGGTGTAGTCCTGGCGTGGTCCTCACGTGGTTGGTCCTGGCGGCCTCTCCCAGCCCCCGATGCCCGCCGGGAGGGTCAGTCTCTCCGTCCCCAGCAGCCCCTGCTCACAGCCACCATGCACACGGCTCCTCCCTTGGATCACACGTTGTCTGGGGCACGAGTGTCAGCTACACCGTTGCCTCCTCCAAGGCACGGACAGTTCATTATTTATGAAAATAAATCAGATTCCGACAGAAATTCGCCCAGTGAGCTCCAGGTGGAGACAGACCTCTCCGCCTCCGCAGAGCAGCTGACGGTAAATGCACCGGCTGTGAGTGAAACGTTCCCGTCCCCGGGCCCCTCGGCGGTGGGCCCTCGCTCCAGGACCTCGCATGTCGGTGACGGAGCTGGGAGGATGGTCCTTCATAGGTGCCAGCGTGTGTCCTCCGCCCAGCGCCAGCCGACCAGCACCCACCCAGAGCCTCTTGGAGGAGGGCGTCTCCAGAAAACCCACTTTTGATTTTATCACATCCTCAGGTGTGCGTTAAGTAAGCAAATCCAAAGAAACTAACGCGAACCACACCAGAGCAAAAAGCGAGAGAGGAGGAGTTAGAGAATGCGGAGCGATGGCGGCAGAGAAAGGCCACAGCTCCCCACGGGGTCTGACTGAGCGTGTCTCAGCCTCACCTGGCCCGGCACGCCCACCGCTCAGAGGCCCAGGCCCGGGGGCGGCGTTCAGGACAAGAACTAAAGGAGGCAGCGCCGCTCAGCATCAGCCTGAGCCGGGTTTGGACGTCCCTCAGAGGAAACAAAAGACAAATGCCCGCTTTGCCTTAGTTCAGTGAAGAATACATTCATTGTCTGGTTCACTTTGATTGCTCGATGGGCAAACACAGGTCAAATCCTGTTTCCGTGTGTGAACATCCAAACCCAAGTCTTCATTGTTATGTGTTCACTGGAGACCCGGTGTTCACTGGAGACCCGGTGCAGGAATTTGTGCAGGAGAAGGCCTTCCTTCCCCTCTGCCGGCACCCCTCGCAGCCCCGGCTTCTCCAGGAAGGTCGTCGGTCTAATTAGCATATTATGCTTTTATTATTATACACTTATTTTAAAAATATTTCTATTAGTTTTTAAAGAAATAGGGAGAGGGGGAGAGAGAAACACGGAAATGGGAGACACACATTCATCGGTTGTCTCCTGTATAAGCCGGAACCTGGGCCAGCAACCAGGTACATGCCCTGGACTGGGAATCGAACTGGACCCTCGGTCCTCGGGCTGATGCTCTATTCTGCCGGAGCTGAAAACTCCTTTTCAGAGATGAGAGGGGCCACTGGGGGGAGCAGGGGCCGAGCCTGCAAGATCTCAGGGAGCCCCTGGCTTCTGATTCCCGGGGCTCCGACGGACAAGACAAAGCACACAGCAGAGGACTGCCCAGCACAGACACGCATGCTCTCCATCACCTGTGCTGAGACAGGTCAACAGAGCCAGACATGAACGGGGCGTCTCTAACCCACTGGCTCCCCTGCAGGCCCCCTCTCCCGCTCCCCCCAGGCTGCCCGCCAGCAGGAGTACCGAGCCCGAGAGCGCCTCGGAAGGAAGGCTGTAGAGATGGGAGTGGCTGTAAGTATTGGGGGGCGGGGGGAGGAACTCGGGGTGCGCAGAGCAGACTCAGCCCTCTCGGCGTTACTGTCAGGGGCCGGCCCTGGGGTGTCAGCCGGTGATGCTCTCTGCTCTGTGTGGGCCTGAGCATGTTCCCGGCGAGGCCTTCTGAGAAGAGCTTTAGGGAATGGTCCTCGGTGTACGCCTGCGTCTGTGGACGAGGCTGAGGGCTTCGCTGAGATACGTCGCCAGTTACACAGTGGGGGCGGGGGGGTCTCCTTCTGCAGGGCTCCCCTCGCCCAGAGCCAACCTGACCCTACAGGAATGAGACGCAGTGGGCGGCAGACCCCACTCGGGCCCCTCCTCCACCCCCTGCTCCCTGGGGGGGCCTGTAGCTCTGCTTCCTCCGCTCTTCCCACCGGCAGAAGACACCCCCACCCCCTGCTGATCGGTGGAGCAATCACACTCCACTCCGAGGAACTAGGATTTCGACCGAAGTCACCAGATCAGAAACGAGAGAAGTCAGACAGCAGCCAGTGCCATGAGTGCATTTATTCTGTATAAAGTTCATGGCCACAGCCTCCAGTGACCTTTTCTTTTTCTTCCTTTCTTTCCTGGTTAAAAACTCAGTCTATTAACACTGGTGTCATGGAGATTTCTCTTTAGAAAATGAGGTATTTGGTTTACTGTCCCCAACGGTCAAGGTTTGGGCAAACTGCAACAACGGTCAGGGAGTGACAGAAGGAAGGGAGTGCAGTGAGCCTGGGCGGAGTCCGGGCGGGGCGCCCTGAGTCTTCGTGGTCGCCCACCTCGTGCTCTCCTGAGGGCACACCTTCCACGCAGGCCCCAGTGAGGAAGGCGGCGTGGGACAGGAGGCGGGCGGGGACCAAGATGGCTCTTACTGTGCCTCCCCGCAGGAGCCACGCGGCTGCCGCCCGGTTTCGGGTTTTCCCGGCAGGATGTGCAGAGCCGCGGTGGTGACCAGCGCTCCGGGCGGACACCTGGCGCGGACAGTGTCACATGAAGAACTGGGCCAGCAGGTTGGCCAGGCCCAGGACGATGAGGAGGACGTGGAAGGCCAGCGTGGGCCACGTCAGGCGGTCCTCGTGGCGGAGGGAGAGGATGTGGATGAGGGACGGGTAGACGAACACGAAGGCCAGGCCGCAGGCCGCTCCCGAGAACCTGGAACGAAGCGCCCGGGGTGAGAGCCGCACCACTCGCCTTTTCTGATTTACCAGGAAGGTGACTACGGCACAACCCGCCCTCCTCATCCGCTGAGCAGGCCTCCGGATCCACCTGCTGCTGACACAGCACTGGAGGCCAGTCATTGGACTAGCCAAGTTACTATAAACCATCACTTCCTGTGCGTCTTTACGGCAACTGCTCGACAAAGGGTTTTACTCGTCCCTCCAATCCAGGGATTTCCTCGGGAACATCTGGAGACTGGCTCTCTCGCTTTGATCTTTTATAAACTAACTAGAGGCCTGGTGCACGAAATTAGTGCATGGAGGGGGCGTCCCTCAGCCCAGCCTGCACCCTCTCACAGTCCAGGAGCCCTCGGGGGGTGTCCGACTGCCCTGGAGGCAGGAGAAGCTCCCGCCACCACTGCTGCACTCGCCAGCCGTGAGCCCGGCTTCTGGCTGAGCAGCACTCCTCCTGTGGGAGCACACTGACCCCCAGGGGCAGCTCCTGCACTGTGTCTGCCCCTGGTGGTCAGTGCGCATCATAGCGACCGGATGATCAGCTGTATGGTTGATTTGCATATTAGCCTTTTATGATACAGGACTAGGATTCTGCATGTGTGAAGGGCTGCATCTCCTGAGGATGAGAGGATGAGCATGCGCAGCATTCAGCACCGATATCAAAGGTCCTAACAAAACGTCACACACGAGCCTGCAGGCCACACTGCCTCCCGGTTCGCTCGGAACCGGTCCGCGTGTCCAACGGGCATCGGGCTGCTCGCCACTCTCTGAGGGAAGGGCCTTCGGCAGGGACTCAGCCCTGCGTTCTGTAGGTTCAGGGACACATCATTCTGAGCCCCGTGTCCGTGAGAACCGAGGCACCATGTTCCCAACCCACTCGATGTCCCCAAACGTCACAGTGTCTCTGGGAAAGAATATTAAGGAAAGCTCCCTTAGGACCTGAGCTCTTCCTTCCTGACAGCTGACATTGGACTATATTCTTCTTTTTTACTAAATTATTGGGGTGACACTGGTCAGCATGAGCACATCAGTGTCAGGCTGGGCTTCCATGTTACAGGTCTGTGTACCGCACAGTGGCCACACCCCACAGCCAGAACTCCCCGTCATCTCCTATCAGGCCTTTCCCCCGGGGCCGTGCTCCTGAGCAGAAAGTGAGGGCACAGCCGTGATACGTGAGAGACCTCCCAGGTGCCCAAGACATGCTATGTACTACACGCCACTTCCACGGGTGAGACGACAGGACACAGGAGACAATGAGAGAGAGAGCAGGTGCTGCCGCTCAGGCCCGGGGCTTCCAGTTAGAAAGGAGCAGAACGGAGGGCGAGACGTAAGCGACAGCAGACAACGTGCACATTACAGTTTTAAGCCCTGAAATCTCCCACAATTGAAGGAGACCGCAGCCACACGGACAGCACCCCTGCAGAGAGCACCCCGCAGGGGCGAGGCCCCCAGCAGAGAACACCCTGCAGGGACGAGGCCCCCAGCAGAGAGCACCCCGGCAGAGGGCACCCCGGCAGAGGGCACCCCGACAGAGGGCACCCCGACAGAGGGCACCCTGCAGAGAGCACCCGACAGAGAGCACCCCGCAGAGAGCACCCCGCAGAAAGCACCCCGCAGAGAGCACCCGGCAGAGAGCACCCCGTAGAGAGCACCCCGCAGAGAGCACCCGGCAGAGAGCACCCCGCAGAGAGCACCCGGCAGAGCACCCGACAGAGGGCACCCGGCAGAGGGCACCCGGCAGAGAGCACCCCGCAGAGAGCACCCCGCAGGGGCGAGGCCCCCAGCAGAGAGCACCCCGCAGAGAGCACCCCGTAGAGAGCACCCCGCAGAGAGCACCCGGCAGAGAGCACCCCGCAGAGAGCACCCGGCAGAGCACCCGACAGAGGGCACCCTGCAGAGAGCACCCGACAGAGAGCACCCCGCAGAGAGCACCCCGCAGAGAGCACCCGGCAGAGAGCACCCCGCAGAGAGCACCCGGCAGAGAGCACCCCGTAGAGAGCACCCCGCAGAGAGCACCCGGCAGAGAGCACCCCGCAGAGAGCACCCGGCAGAGCACCCGACAGAGGGCACCCTGCAGAGAGCACCCGACAGAGAGCACCCCGCAGAGAGCACCCCGCAGAGAGCACCCGGCAGAGAGCACCCGGCAGAGAGCACCCCGCAGAAAGCACCCGGCAGAGAGCACCCGGCAGAGAGCACCCCGCAGAGAGCACCCCGCAGAGAGCACCCCGCAGAGAGCACCCGGCAGAGAGCACCCGGCAGAGAGCACCCCACAGAGAGCACCCCGCAGAGAGCACCCGGCAGAGCACCCGGCAGAGGGCACCCCGCAGAGAGCACCCGGCAGAGGGCACCCCGCAGAGGTGAGGCCCCCAGCAGAGAGCACCCCGCAGAGAGCACCCCGCAGAGAGCACCCTGCAGAGAGCACCCCGCAGAGGGCACCCCGCAGAGGGCACCCCGCAGAGAGCACCCCGACAGAGGGCACCCCGCAGAGAGCACCCCACAGAGAGCACCCCGACAGAGGGCACCCTGCAGAGAGCACCCGACAGAGAGCACCCCGCAGAGAGCACCCCGCAGGGGCGAGGCCCCCAGCAGAGAGCACCCCGGCAGAGGGCACCCCGACAGAGGGCACCCCGCAGAGAGCACCCCGACAGAGGGCACCCCGACAGAGAGCACCCCGGCAGAGAGCACCCCGGCAGAGGGCACCCCGACAGAGGGCACCCCGCAGAGAGCACCCCGCAGAGAGCACCCCGCAGAAAGCACCCCGCAGAGAGCACCCGACAGAGAGCACCCCGCAGAGAGCACCCCGCAGAGAGCACCCCGCAGAGAGCACCCGGCAGAGAGCACCCCACAGAGAGCACCCCGCAGAGAGCACCCCGCAGAGAGCACCCGGCAGAGCACCCGGCAGAGGGCACCCCGCAGAGAGCACCCCGCAGAGAGCACCCGGCAGAGCACCCGGCAGAGAGCACCCGACAGAGAGCACCCCGCAGAGAGCACCCCGCAGAGAGCACCCCGCAGAGAGCACCCCGCAGAGAGCACCCCGGCAGAGGGCACCCGGCAGAGGGCACCCCGCAGAGGCGAGGCCCCCAGCAGAGAGCACCCCGCAGAGAGCACCCCGCAGAGAGCACCCCGCAGAGAGCACCCCGCAGAGGGCACCCGGCAGAGGGCACCCCGGCAGAGGGCACCCCGCAGAGAGCACCCAGCAGAGCACCCGACAGAGGGCACCCCGCAGAAAGCACCCCGCAGAGAGCACCCCACAGGGGCGAGGCCCCCAGCAGAGGGCACCCCGGCAGAGGGCACCCGGCAGAGGGCACCCCGCAGAGAGCACCCCGCAGAGAGCACCCCGCAGAGAGCACCCCGCAGAGGGCACCCCGCAGAGGGCACCCCGCAGAGAGCACCCTGCAGAGAGCACCCGGCAGAGGGCACCCCGCAGAGAGCACCCGGCAGAGCACCCGACAGAGGGCACCCGGCAGAGGGCACCCGGCAGAGAGCACCCCGCAGAGAGCACCCCGCAGAGAGCACCCCGCAGAGGGCACCCGGCAGAGGGCACCCCGCAGAGAGCACCCCGCAGAGAGCACCCCGCAGAGAGCACCCCGCAGAGGGCACCCCGGCAGAGGGCACCCCGGCAGAGGGCACCCCGCAGAGAGCACCCGGCAGAGCACCCGACAGAGGGCACCCCGCAGAAAGCACCCGGCAGAGAGCACCCCGGCAGAGGGCACCCCGACAGAGGGCACCCCGCAGAGAGCACCCCGCAGAGAGCACCCCGCAGAGAGCACCCCGCAGAGAGCACCCCGCAGAGGGCACCCCGGCAGAGGGCACCCCGCAGAGGGCACCCCGCAGAGAGCACCCCACAGGGGCGAGGCCCCCAGCAGAGGGCACCCCGGCAGAGGGCACCCGGCAGAGGGCACCCCGACAGAGGGCACCCCGCAGAGAGCACCCCGCAGAGAGCACCCCGCAGAGGGCACCCCGCAGAGGGCACCCGGCAGAGGGCACCCCGCAGGGGCGCGGCCCAGCAGTACCTGATGATGCCGCCGATGTTGGGGTACAGACAGGCCATGCTCACGCCGGCGCCCACAATGACCAGGTTCAGGACCAGCACGTGGAAGACGCTGTGGAGGGAGAGAAGTAAAAATAAAACAGGCACGTTATACCACGGACGTGAGAACACAGTTCTACCAGCACGTCTACAGTCAGCACGTCTCACACAGGCCAAGGACGCCCGCGGAGGCAGAGGTGGCCCGCGGGGCCCGCCCTCTGTGCGCGTGGAGGAGTGCACGGTGAGTGTCCCAGGCCGTCTCCACCACTGCCCCGCTCAGTCACCTCCAGACAAAAGCTCTACCATCGGAGGCCAGGACAACTGCAGTGCCCTGGGTCTGCCATCAGTCACCGAGAACGCGTCAGCCGTGCGCGGAGGGCGGAGGGCGGCGCCGGGCAGACGCGGTGTGCGCTGGCGGTGGCAGAAACGCCCTGTGAGCACAGGGGCATTCCAGACCTTCCCGAGAAGGAAGCCCATTCCGCGGGCCCACAGGCCGGCCAGGGCAGCAGGCAGGCCCAGCGCGTTCACTGGCCGTCTCCGCCGGCACACCGCGGCCTGACCCGCTTCCCGACCCCTCCCGACGGCACCGCCAGCACCGGCTGCCACACCGTGCTGCCGGCCTGGGGACCCGGCCTCCTGCTTTACGGTTTGTCACCAACACACTCCAGATGGACTGCCTCAGACCATGGTGTGCCGGTTACTGTACACATGACCTTTGGTCAGGTTTTACCCGGATGTTTTCTTCGTTTAGGATAATGCTTTCCCAGTAAGACAGGGCCAGCCTCGGGACTGTCTGGGGGCTGTGATGAGACTGAGCAAGAGAGCAGGGAGCCGGGCCCACGGTGTCCGGGAGCCTGGGAGAGGCGCGAGCCATGCGATGCCACTGCGGCTCGCAGCTCCTCGCCGGCGAGACGGCCACGCAGGAAAGACCCTGCCTGACGCTGCCTTGCCTTCGGCGGCCAGCTGCCACGCAAAAAGGCACACGCGAGGAAAGGCACACGCCTGTCAGGGACTAAGTGGACACCAATCGCCATCACGCGAAGGAGGCCCGGCCCAGGACCTCTGCCCCCAGCTGCCCGGGCGTGCGTGTGTGCATCGGCGGCAGCAGCCGAGTCGGGTCCCGGTCCCGGCACAGCCGCAGTGACCTGTCCCCAGACATCTCCCCGGTGCTGCGGCCGGCGGCCCCCGCCCTCGTGCCCGCTGGTCGGGAGCCCTCCTCACCTGGGGTACGGGTCCCCGAACACATGGCCCAGCAGCTGGACCCGGGCCAGGTAGCCCAGCAGCGGGTACACGGTCACCATCTGGAACAGCAGGAATATGCGCGCCACGAAGGACAGCACGTCGCTGCTGGGGAAGTTGTCCAAGAAGTTCTGGTCCGAGCGAGTGAGTGAGAGAGAGTCGTGTGAGAGCCGGGTCTGGGCCCGTCTGCGAGGTGGTGCCTGCGCCCTGTGGGCGCCCTGTGATCGCCCTGTGGGCGCCCTGTGATCGCCCTGTGAGTGCCCTGTGGGCGCCCTGTGATCGCCCTGTGAGTGCCCTGTGGGCGCCCTGTGGGTGCCCTGTGATCGCCCTGTGGGGCCCTGTGATCGCCCTGTGGGGCCCTGTGATCGCCCTGTGATCGCCCTGTGGGGCCCTGTGATCGCCCTGTGGGGCCCTGTGAGTGCCCTGTGGGGGCCCTGTGATCGCCCTGTGGGGCCCTGTGAGTGCCCTGTGATCGCCCTGTGATCGCCCTGTGGGGCCCTGTGAGTGCCCTGTGATCGCCCTGTGGGTGCCCTGTGATCGCCCTGTGGGCGCCGTGTGAGTGCCCTGTGATCGCCCTGTGGGCGTCCTGTGATCGCCCTGTGATCGCCCTGTGGGCGCTCTGTGATCGCCCTGTGGGTGCCCTGTGATCGCCCTGTGGGACCCTGTGATCGCCCTGTGGGTGCCCTGTGATCGCCCTGTGGGTGCCCTGTGATCGCCCTGTGGGTGCCCTGTGATCGCCCTGTGGGTGCCCTGTGATCGCCCTGTGGGACCCTGTGATCGCCCTGTGGCGCCCTGTGATCGCCCTGTGATCGCCCTGTGGGTGCCCTGTGATCGCCCTGTGGGGCCCTGTGAGTGCCCTGTGATCGCCCTGTGGGGCCCTGTGAGTGCCCTGTGATCGCCCTGTGAGTGCCCTGTGGGTGCCCTGTGATCGCCCTGTGGGCGCCGTGTGAGTGCCCTGTGATCGCCCTGTGGGTGCCCTGTGGGCGTCCTGTGGGTGCCCTGTGATCGCCCTGTGGGACCCTGTGATCGCCCTGTGATCGCCCTGTGGGTGCCCTGTGATCGCCCTGTGGGTGCCCTGTGATCGCCCTGTGGGTGCCCTGTGATCGCCCTGTGGGGCCCTGTGATCGCCCTGTGGGTGCCCTGTGATCGCCCTGTGGGTGCCCTGTGATCGCCCTGTGGGTGCCCTGTGATCGCCCTGTGGGTGCCCTGTGATCGCCCTGTGATCGCCCTGTGGGTGCCCTGTGATCGCCCTGTGATCGCCCTGTGGGTGCCCTGTGATCGCCCTGTGGGTGCCCTGTGGGTGCCCTGTGATCGCCCTGTGGGTGCCCTGTGATCGCCCTGTGATCGCCCTGTGGGTGCCCTGTGATCGCCCTGTGGGTGCCCTGTGATCGCCCTGTGGGGCCCTGTGATCGCCCTGTGGGGCCCTGTGAGTGCCCTGTGATCGCCCTGTGGGTGCCCTGTGATCGCCTTGTGGGCGCCGTGTGAGTGCCCTGTGATCGCCCTGTGGGCGTCCTGTGATCGCCCTGTGATCGCCCTGTGAGTGCCCTGTGGGTGCCCTGTGATCGCCTTGTGGGCGCCGTGTGAGTGCCCTGTGATCGCCCTGTGAGTGCCCTGTGGGTGCCCTGTGATCGCCCTGTGATCGCCCTGTGAGTGCCCTGTGGGTGCCCTGTGATCGCCCTGTGGGCGCCGTGTGAGTGCCCTGTGATCGCCCTGTGGGTGCCCTGTGGGCGTCCTGTGGGCGCCCTGTGATTGCCCTGTGGGCGCTCTGTGATCGCCCTGTGGGTGCCCTGTGATCGCCCTGTGGGACCCTGTGATCGCCCTGTGATCGCCCTGTGGGTGCCCTGTGATCGCCCTGTGGGTGCCCTGTGATCGCCCTGTGGGTGCCCTGTGATCGCCCTGTGGGGCCCTGTGATCGCCCTGTGGGTGCCCTGTGATCGCCCTGTGGGTGCCCTGTGATCGCCCTGTGGGTGCCCTGTGATCGCCCTGTGGGTGCCCTGTGATCGCCCTGTGGGTGCCCTGTGATCGCCCTGTGGGACCCTGTGATCGCCCTGTGGCGCCCTGTGATCGCCCTGTGATCGCCCTGTGGGTGCCCTGTGATCGCCCTGTGGGTGCCCTGTGATCGCCCTGTGGGTGCCCTGTGATCGCCCTGTGGGCGCCCTGTGATCGCCCTGTGGGCGCCCTGTGGGTGCCCTGTGATCGCCCTGTGATCGCCCTGTGGGCGCCGGCCCACGAGGGGGGGAGGGCCCTGCCACGGACTGCGCTCCCGTTCCCCTCAGGGAGCCAGCCCGGGACGGAGTGTTCAGGAACGTGTACAGAAACACGCCATCGACATGTCTGTCCTACTTCATGACAGCACCAGGCTGGCCCGGCCGGTGGCTCAGTGGCTGAGTGTTGACCTAGGAACCAGGTCACGGTCCCATTCCTGGTCAGGGCACAGGCCCAGGTTGTGGGCTCGATCCCCAGTGGGGGGCGTGCAGGAGGCAGCCCGTCCATGATTCTCTCTCAGCATTGATGTTTTTCTCCCTCCCTCTCCCTTCCTCTCTGACATCAATAAAAATATATTTAAAAAGTATCAGCTGGCAGCTGATGTGGCATCAGAACGACAAAGAAAGCCTTGTCCTTGCTCCGGAGGAGCCGGTCCGAGGGCCCCGCCTGACCATCGAGTGGATTTAATGGCAACTGAGCCGAGGCGGTGCCGCCCCGAGGCACACTGCCTTCCCGCCAGGGGCGCAGGGAGGGGGCAGGCCTGTCCCAGGGTCCCTGCATCCACAGCCCATCACCGGGAGAACAGGACTCTATCCGCTTCCTCTCACGGCTCTTGTCCGTGTCAGCGTGGCATCTCAGAGGAGCAGCCAATCCCCTCCCCCTCAACAAAACACCACGGACACCGCTGCTCCCGGTGAAGGGCCTTATGGGCTGTTGGTCAGGGAGTCTGCAGCAAACGCCTGGCAGCCAAGTTCACACCACAGCAGCCACTCAACCTGTTTCTCTTACCGAGAAGAGATGCCATCAGCACAACCATGCTGAAGCCACCTTTACCACTCACCTGTGGCTCTCACACCCATGACACTCACACCTGTGACACTCACACCCTTGACACTCACACCTGTGGCTCCTCACCTGTGGCCCTCACACCCGTGACACTCACACTTGTGGCTCTCACACCCATGACATTCACACCACACCTCCCACTGCACCCAGCAGGGAAATGCTGGCCTGGCGGGGGCTCAGTGGTTAGTGTCGCTCACACTCCGAAGGGCTGGTGTCTGGTCCCACAGAGGTCCAGGCTCACCTGCTCGATGCAGTCCTTGGACAGCGGGGGCGAGGGGAAGGCGGCGAAGACCAGCACTCCGATGTACAGGTAGGTGAGCGTCACCAGCAGGTAGGCGATGGACAGGTCCCGCACCTGCGGGGAGGACGGCAGCTACACGCGCGCTGCCGCGGAGTGCGTCCCACAGGACAAAGCAGCCTGGCACACACGGGGTCTACTTTGGCTGTGTGTGAGTGTGTGTACATGTGTGTGCGTGTGCATGCGTACACCTCCCATCTGCTCACAGAAAGGAAGGGAAACAATTCACAAGCCGGACAGTTAGTCTGCCGTGTGGCGCTCCAGGGGGGTGCACACGGAGCTGCCGATGGGCAGGGGTAGGAAGCTAACCTAAGTGGTGGTTTAAGATGGTAGGAATTCTGGCTTAAGTTCAAATAGCAAATAGTTTACCAAGTGAGTAAGTTTTAACTGAAATAACAAAGCTAAGGGACTACCACTCTCAGGAAGGCCCGAGAATGAACATCTCCCTTCAGTAAGGAGCTCCCAGCGCCAGAGCCTGTGCAGCCCAGACCCGGGACGGAATGGAAGACGTTATGAGGAGGGGAAGCTGCGGAGGAGCAGGCAGCGGGCAGGCACCACAGACAAGCCTCAGTGACGTGAGAGCAGGACGTTAGCGGCAGCCGTTGCACAGCCGTGCCTGCCATGCCGGCGGCCAGCGGAGGCGGGCGCCGTGCACAGCGGGCCGTGGCCCTCCACAGCCTCCGCCCCCCACGGCCGGCCGGACCTCAGCACCTCAGAGCGGGACAGGCCTGTTCACTCTTCATCTTAAACACCAACGGCCGTGAGCGCTGAGGAAACTAAGCACACGGGATCAGGGACTGTCTGACAGGCGGACACCTTTCCTCCTGTGTCCGCCCGATTCGCTTTTCGCTCCCGTGCGCACACTTCTCCTTCCTCGCTGTGCTTTCACCTCGGTCTGCCGTTCCCTCTGGAGCGTTAGGAGACCTTGTGGAAGTGGCTTTCACGTGGAACCAGGCAGGGAGGAGGGAGCGAGAAAGGCAGGATCGAGGGCCCCGGTAGGCGCTTCCTAGGACCTAACTCATCCAATCGCAGGAGGGAGTCCTGGCCAAAGCCAATGTGTCTCGTTACACAACTTCATGGCCCAGACGAACCTGCGGGAGACGCTCCTGTCAACAAGTTCTGTCCGTCCATCGCGTCAGGAGGGAAAGGGAGGGTCCCGACCACGTGAAACGCCTCTCCTGCTTGGTAGGAGTTACCTGCGATGGAGACCCCGAGGGCCAGTGTCAAACCACACTGCTACTCCCTGGGAAGACCGTGACAGTGGAAAATCCAGATTCACTCCATGCCAGCTCCGCTCCCAGGTCAGATGCCAGGTGTGTGCTCCCAGGTGACCCAACACATGAGAACAGAGGACCTGACCCACATTCTTGCCCGAGGTTGACAGCTGACTTCCCTCCACTTGAAGATGTTTGCCTTCTCGCTGCCTCTGCCAAAAGCTGCCCGGAGCCCCCTCAGAGCCCGGGGCCCAGGAGCGCTTCCTTCCTGTGTGGTTCAGTGCCGCCGCGGGAACCTCTGTTTACACGGTTAGAAGCCATCGCCTGAGCTCAACATCCGCAGAGAGGCCACAGGCACCTGGCTCCTCCTGCTCGCTCTGGGTCCGGTTTGCTTTCTTCTTCCAGAGTCTTAAGGTGGAAGGGTAGGCTATTGACTTGCGATCTTTTTCTCTTTGAGATAAGTGTTCACAGCTATAAATCTCCCCCTAAGCACTGCTTTAGCTGCATCCTTTACATTCTGGTGTGTTTTGTCTCCATTTCAGTAACCTCAAAACATTTCCTACTTTTTCTTGTTGGTTATTTAAGAATATGTTGTATAGTGTCTGCCAACTTCCCAGATTTCTTTCTGTTACCGATGTCTAACTTCTCTATGGCCAAAGAAACACTTGGTACCATTTCAGTCCTTCCACATTTACTGGGACTAGCCCGGCACATGGGCCACCTTGGGAAATGCTCCGTGTGCGTTTGAAAGGAAGGTCCATCCTGCTGCTGTGTGAGCGGAGACTTCCATAAATGCACTGAGACCAGGAAGGCTGCCAGTGCTTTCGTGTTTTCTCTCCCTCAGTGATTTCCTGTTTGTTCCCTCAGTTACTAAGGGAGGGGCCAGGAGATCTCCAGGAAGTTGTCATAGGGTGCACACATGCTTGGGATTATTATGTCTTCTCGATGAATCGATCCCTAAAGGTCATTAGACAATGTTCCTCTGTATTTTGGCGATACTCCTCACTTGAAGTCCACCTTTCTCTGTGCAGCGTCTTTATGGTACGTCTTTGTATTGGAAGGAAGTTTCTCATCGATAGCATAGAGCTAGGTTTTCAATCATTCTGACAATCCCTGTCTTTTAACTACAATAATTGGACTGTTTTTTTTCATGTGATGACCAGCGTTATGGGGTTAAAGCTCTCTTCTTGCTCTGTGTTTCCTATCTGTCCCTTTTCCTGGCTTCCAGGTCACTGGGTATTTTTAAAGCTTTCATCACTCTGCTGGCTACTGGCCTGGCCTCTGTGTTTTCAGTGCTTGCTCAAGCAGGAGCTGGCAAACTGTGGCCCCCGGTGAAATCCAGTGAAGCCCGGCAGCTGTTCATTTTGATAAATAAAGTTTCCTTGAAACACGGCCATCACTTGTTTACATAGCGCCCATGGCTACTGGGGCCACCACAGGCCTGGGGCGGTGAGGACAGGGCCCCCATGGCCTCCGAGGCCTGAAATATTGACCACCTGAATCTTTACGGGAAAGGTTTGCTGACCATGGTCTACCACTTAAACTTAAACTTAGAAGCTAAGGCCGAAGCAAGCTCCCTTTCCTCAGGTGTCACTCACGTTGTGCTCCTGGTTCTTGTTGCTCTTGAGGAGTGTGATAACACAGTTGTGGATAAAGAAAGCCAGGGTCAGCACGCCTGTCAGCTGCGGGAACCGAGCTCTAATCTCTAGGAGAGAAAGAGGGGAACCACGTTAACCCCATTAACACCGACAACTACGAGAGCGTAAGCTGCCAAACGCTGATCACTAACAACCAGCTGTCTGCGTTTGTCAAGGGGAGAAGAACACAAAAGCCTCTTTATGGAGTTCCTCAAGGTTCATGCTCTTCTGAGCAAGTGCTCAAAGTGGCAAAGGAACCACATGGGAGTGACTCCTCGGGAAAAAATAACTTGAGAAAAGGAATCCTGGGAGGGAGGATTGGTCGCTTACCATTTCTTAATGGCTAATGGACATAGCATTGCTCAGAAATACCGAAATGACTTGGCCGCCTGCATGACGGGAATGGCTCTTCGATGAGCTGTCAGTGATGTGCAGGTGTGAGGATCTACAGGAGGACTGCATGTCACGGCAAGTGCTCAGGACGATGGCAGGATCTTACTTTTACTGAAAACAGTGCGCATGCACGTGCGTGTGTGTGTGCCTGTGCAAAGAAATATGGGAGGACCATCCCAAAGCACAGATGGGTTGCCTCTGTGAGTGGGATTTATCTTAAAGGAACCCTTACCCATGCTCTAAACTTTCTGCAATAAACACAGTGGCTTTGAAAGGGAGAGCAGTAAAGGTGACATCATCTCAATGGCAGCATTATGCTTACGTAACTATAATGGAGGCACCCATGTGGGAAAGTGGATAAAATTTTTACTTATGACCTTATTTGCAGATACAGTACTCGTTCCAGAGGAACAATGGAAAAATTCAGTAAGAATCCGACGTCACCTCCCCATGAAGGAAGAACGGAATCACAGGAAACAGTGAACAGCACGGCGATAGGAAGCCCACACCCACCAATGATTAGTTTCCGTGAGAACAGACTGAGCTCTCCAAACACAACACGGTGTGGCTGAGCGGACTTGCTGCAGCCTGACCCACACACACGGATGGACAGACGGACAGAAAGTGGGAGTGAGAGGGGGAAAATACTCCGAGGAAGCCCAGGACCACTGCTCAGTGAGTTAAGGAACACAGATTCCTTGACAACGTGGTCTTGAGGAGCCCCGAACCGCCCATCCTTGCCAAGCTGCTGCCTTATTGGTTGGAGAAGACACATTGAGAGAAGGGGGCAGGGGGCATAGCTGTAATACTGCCATCTGACACAGGACGCACATCTAGAATGAAGAACGCTTACAAATCAATTTAAAAAACAGGAAGTCGGGCAAAAGACTTGAAGAGGCACAGACAGTATGTGGGCTTGGCATTGTAGGTGAAATAACCTGAGCAACGGAGCCACCCACCAGGGCCCCACGGACCTGCTTCAGCTTAACGTCCCCGACGACGCTCAGCTCAGCGTAAGCAGCCATTCCCGTCATGGAGGAGCAGCCGTCCACGTGGTGAATGTAAAGACCCGCTGCTAACACATTCTTACAGCAGCTCTCCTGTCTACGGCCATGCCACCTGACCACGTCCCATCTCGGCTAAAGCAGCTCACTTGTCTACAGCCATGCCACCTTGACCGCGCCCCATCTCTGCTAAAGCGGTTCATCTGTCTACTGCCATGATACCCGACAGCGCCCCATCTCTGCTAAAGCGGCTCACCTGTCTACGGCCATGCCACCTGACCGCACCCCATCTCTGCTAAAGCGGTTCATCTGTCTACTGCCATGACACCCGACCGCGCCCCATCTCTGCTAAAGCGGCTCACCTGTCTACAGCCAAGCCACCTGACCGCGCCCCATCTCTGCTAAAGCGGCTCACCTGTCTACAGCCAAGCCACCTGACCGCACCCCATCTCTGCTAAAGCGGCTCCCTGTCTACGGCCATGCCACCTGACCGCGCCCCATCTCTGCTAAAGCGGCTCACCTGGCACAAAGAACTCCGTGGGCTCGAACCAGTGGAACTCCAGGTGGAATCCCGAGCGAGCGGCCTTCAAGGTGACGAGGAAGGTCAGGTAGACGACGGACACCGTGCCTGTGGGAGACAGACCAGCGGGCCTGCTCAGTGCAGATGCCGCCACCTGCTCGTCCCGGCTCTCAGCAGACGGGCCCTGCCGCCGGCACTGCTTCCCCACCACACGGGGGCGGGGCGAGAGCGGGCAGGAGGGGGCTGAGGCAGGAGCGGCGCGGTGAGCGGCACACAGACAGCGGAGCAGGGGGCCGGAGGACCGAGGAAGGGCCTCAGCCGTCGCTGAAGGCCGCGGCCAGCGCGCGCCCGAGCTGAGCTTAGCGGAGGCCGGAGCCCAGCACAGAGCCGCCGGGCGACACAGAGAGGGACGTGGTCTTCGTGCTGGAAGGTTCGGGTGTTGACAGGCTGGAACGTCAGTCTGCATCCAGGGCAAGGCGAGGGGCCTAGAGCCGGGGCGCCGCCTGGGCCTGGGGGGCTGTGATGAGCAGCTGCTTGTGAGGGGCGAGGGGTGTGGGGGAAATGGTCCACCCACAGCCTCAGGCACAGGGACGGGGTTTTGAGGGACTCAGCCTGGCAGTCGGAGGGGGAGGGCCGGTGGATCGCTCCCGTTCAGGTGTTAGGTCGTCACAGTGGAGCTGAGCCAGGAGGTTCCTAGGGAACCAGGTGCTAATTTCTCTCAGGAAGCTACAGCTTTACAAGAAAATGGCTGAGGCGACCGTCCTTACTGTCTGGGCGTGCATCCTGCGAGGCCGAGCCAAGAGGACAACCCTCCCTCGTCCGTCGTCGGCTGGACACCCGAAGGCCACCTGCTCAGTGACGGAGCCTCTGGGGCCTATGCTCAGGGCTGCCAGCGGGATCGGGTCTGCAGGGAGGGAGGCGCTACCCTGAGCTGGTCATCAGCTCCTCATGACGGCGCCTGGTCTCTAGCTAACCGGCTCGGGGCTGCCCGGTGCCTTTGGCCACCCTGAGGCTGAGGAGGAGACACCGCAGACTTCGCCCCGTGATTTCAGAAGCGTGTGAGACAGGCTCCCCGGAGGAAGCCTGCTCCTCTGGAAGGCCACATGTTCCGCAGAGAAAAAGCGCCGAAGAGCTAAGGCAGGCAGACTGAGGAGCGAGTGCAGACGGCCCAGGCGGACGGTCAGGTGATGCTCCTGTGCTGCACGCCAACTAGGATTGGGAGAGCCACGCCGTGTCCTCCCTCGGCGAGGGCTAACCTGCCAGCCTTCGGAACCGAGGGCCCCCAAACCCCTCCCTCCACACTCGGAGGGAGCGGGCAGCGCTGTGTGGCGATGGCCAGTGGGGACCAGTCCCGGGTTCGATTCCACTCAAGGGCACGTACCTTGATTGCGGGCTTGATCCCCAGCCCTAGTGGGAGGTGTGTGCTGGGGGCAACCCATTGATGTGTGCCTCGCATCAGTGTTTCTCTCTCTGTCTTTCCCTCTCTCTTTCCCTCTCTCTAAAACCAAGGAACAATGTCCTGGAGTGAGGATCAACAAAAAACACAACAAAACAAAACAAAAAAGCAAGCCCCCGAGAGGGGAAATGTGCGCGTGAATAATTAACACGGAGGCACGGCCGGGCAGCCCCGCCCCCCCCCAGGCATCCCCACGGGCCAGCAGCTCCCCGCCCGCCCGCCCGCCCGCCCGCCCGCCCGCCTCGCACCAGCGCACCCAGCACGTTGAACCTGGCGAAGAAGGACGGCGACCGGAAGCTGAGCAGCGGCAGGAGCAGCCCCACGAGGTAAAAGGGCACCGTCCTCGACTTGTCCCACCAGGCCTCGAACTGCGGCAGGCCCGCGGCGTCCGCGGAGAGGACGGCGGAGCCGTTGTCGGGACGGCCGCTGCCCGCACTCGGACAGACCACTGCAGGGGGAGGCGTCGGTCAGGAGAGCAGGGAGCAGGCGGGACCCGGAGGCTCGGCCTGCACCCCACACCCAGCCCCTCGTCTGGGGAAAGACGGAGGCTTACACTCCGATGTTAGACACAACGGAAGGGGGAGGAATGTTAGAAATGGGCAGGCACGCCCCTCATTTCTGCTGGGAACTGTGAGTGCTCCCACAAACCCCTGTGGCTCCACGGTTACATACAGGTAACGGTAACATTACACGTATGTAACGGTAACATGAGAGAATCCACGCGGGTGGCATGCTGTGGTCAGCCCCCCGCGGCCAAAGGACAGGCTTCTGCCCACACTGAGCTGACCCCTGGTTCTGGAGTAAAAAGCGGACGCCGCTGAAGGAGCTGTCACGGTGCTGCCCACGCCTCACCGCCGGTCAGAGCGTAGGGACCCTGACTTCCGGGAAGCCAGTCATTCTCCCGGAAGTGGGTCCCAGTGGACGGCAGCCGGGCACCCAGAGGTGACCAGGGAGCGGGGAGGTGAAGCCAGCTCCCAGCACCGACGCGCATGTCAGCGTCACGCAGCTGGAACACGGCCCGCCCCGCGCCCGGGCTCAGCGGGCAGCGCAGACCCACCGCCAGGCCGTGGTGTCCCTGCCGCTCCCGTCAGGAAGGAGCGACCCCACGGGAAGCAGGCGTGCGCCTTCACGGCAGTGACCGAGCACCGAGGGCTAACGCTGAGGCAGCAGACGGACCTGCGCCCCGGACCCAACACGGGCAGGGCTCCAGGCGCGTGAGCTGCGTGCTGAGTCTTCACGGCAAACACGGGCCCTGCCGGCGGGGCCGCAGCCGTGAGGTGGCACAGGACCTGGCATCGCGCCCTCACATCAGCACAAGCTGGGGTGCGGCTGGTTTCCTGTGCTTTTTAAACACGCTGACGGCCAACAGTTCAATGGTGGCCCGGGTAGACAGTGGGAACGGTTTTGTGGCAGATTTACCTAAAACAGAGCCATCATTTCCACCTTAAACCTATTCTGAAGCCCAGTGGGGAGTAAAACCAAGCTGAAGGTTACGTCGCACACGACTTACCAGGGTTGCTGTCGTTGGTCCTCAGCACAGCATCTGTGTCATTAATGTGATGAATGAAATCTGGAAACGAAGGAAAACAGAGTTCGATAATGCTGAGTGAGGGGCTGAGCTGATCACCGCTGATGTCTTTATCCGTGACCAGCTGGGAAGGTCTGGGCGGCCGGGGGGCCGGGCGGGGGGGGGGGGGGGGGGTGTTTCCCGCTGCCGGGGCCTGAGAGGCTTGCTCTGCGCTGCATGGCGCTGACCTTGGTTAACCCAGGAGGCGTTAATAAGCCTGCTTGGTTAAACTTAAAAGAGGCAGTAAGGAGGTGAGAGGCGATCTCAGGTCGTAAAGTAGGTTAAACACGGGGTCTCTGCCGTGTGGGTGTTGGCAGAGTGAAGGGAGTTCCGTGCTCCGGGTTTTACGGCATCCCCGGGGCAGGGTGTGGTCTGCGATGAGAAGCTGGGGATGTTCATGGCGACCCTGGCGCCCACGCTCACGCCTGCCTGGAGCCAGGAAGCCCTGACACCTGTGCCAGCGGGTTCCCGAATGGGATCCTAACGCCCCGAGGATCCAACGCCCCAGGATCCAACGCCCCAAAGACGAGCCTCTGCAGTTTGCTTCCCCAAGACCCTATACAACTTCTTTTGTAACCGACAGCTATGAACGAACTCTGTAAGCAGTGTTGCACTAAAATCTCCTGGTAGACACGGAAACTGCTTAAAACATCTGCTGGAGCTCAATACATTTTATATTAATTAGAGCAGTGTTTCCCAACCTTCTCTCATGATGAGAATCACCTGGTGGAGTTGTTAAAACACAGATTCCTGAATCCCAACTAAGAAGTGCTAAACTAGAATTTTTGAGAACATATAGGTAAAATTGCATACCTAACTTAGTGCTCTGTATATAAAATCTGTCTTAGAGCACTAGTTAAATATACAATTTTACCTATATGTTCCCAAAAATTCTAGTTTAGCACTTCTTAGTTGGGATCCGGGAATCTGTGTTTTAACAACTCCACCAAGTGATTCTCATCATGAGAGAAGGTTGGGAAACACTGAATTAGAGAATCTGAAGGAGCATAACCGATTCAAAAATTAGTCTTTGCAAATGAGCAACACACATTATATATGAGATCATACCCACAGAAACCAAATATATTTCCTAGAATTACAAATAGCACCTTTTTCTTTGTCCCAGTTCAGAATTTAAGGTGGGAACTAAGCCATGACAGTGGTGATGGCACCTGGAATGACTGAATGCACGTGGCAGATGTGGAGACTTACTGAACATGAACTTCCCGGTGTTGAACAGGAAGTTGGACATGAGCACCCAGTACACGACCATGGCCCCGACGAGCGACACCAGGGAGAACAGGAGGCTGGACCACTGGCCGAAGGCGCCGAAGTAGTGCCTGCACACGTCCGGGAACTCCCAGGCCGCCGTGTCCACCGACGCTGCGAGCGAGAAGGGGAGGAGAGAAACTGGGGTCGATGCCATATTCATCCTTTCTTTCCCCAGATTAACTCAGAACATTCAGTAAAAGGCGATGAGTGTTACAGCAGACATAGCAGATCACAGTAAGAAATAACACAAGTGAGAACACAGAGCAAACGCATAAAAATAAATGTAGGTCAACAGAATGGTTGTAACCAGAGAAACAGGTAACAGCACAGGAACAGTTTGTCATGAGTAAAAGCACGTGGTAAGCCCCGGAGAGACACAATCGTTAGTAAAGGGACAGGAGGCATCATGCTTAGATAATAATAAGGGAAACAGTTTTCTTGAGTCATGCTTTATAGCACACATGCCAATTTAAGCTTCACACAACTGAGTTAAGAATTAAAAAAAATCAGCGGGGCCGGAATGGATCAGTGGTTGAGCGTGACTCACAAACCAGGAGGTCACGGTTCAATTTCTGGTCAGGGCACAGGCCTGGGTTTCGGGCTTGACCTCCAGTAAGGGATGTGCAGGAGGCAGCAATCAATGATTCTCTCTCATCATTAATGTTTCTATTCCCCTCTCCCTCTCCCTTCCTCTCTCTGAAATCAATTAAAAAAAAATTAAAAAAAGAATTTAAAAATTAAATTACAGAAAAGTTAAAAGACTGTAGAAACAGAACATGAAAGTTTATCCTTTTTCTACCAACTGAATTACAGTGGAAAAGATGGGCAGATATAAACAAACCCATGTAATAAAAAAGCCATTCAAATACGGAATGGGGGGAAATTGACCAGAAATAACAGAATAAGGGCTAGTGGCTACATCATAGACAGAAGTTGGCACATCTACAAGAGCACCAAGGGGCTTGTGGGTAGAGGGGAAGGGCCGTGAATAAGCAGCACAATGAAGGGGAAACACGCCACTGCTGAGGAGAGACAGAACAACTGGGCAGTGCCGTCGCTGACTCACACTTGCTGGGAGTCAGTTAGGTCACGTGCGCCTGTTTAGCCCTACGTTACCCCAACACAATCCAGAGGGCGTCTCCCTGATCAGAGTTTACGGAGACGAGTGGAGGAAATGTGTTGGTACAGTTTTTAGAGTTCGCTATAAAGGCCACATTGCTCACGTTTTCATGTTTTTCTGGATATAATTTCCACTTTTAGGAGAGCCCAACATTTAGGTCTCTGGGTCGGGATAGGTCAAAGCCAGTCACCGTTAACTGGAGAAGATCACGGATTTTTAACGTGAGCTTCTGCAAAGCCTCCGTTTACCAGCAGGCCTTCTCCTGGGAGGACTCTAACTCCACGGGGAACGTGTTCCGCAGAGAACCGCGGCTCTGACTGCCGGGGGCGGGCAGCCAGCGTTGGGCACCACACGGGAAGCACAGGCCGGCGGCTCCCTGCGCGGGAGGCCCTGCACGCCCGCCTGTCCTCACTGAGCAGCGCTTACGTATCGTGGCTCGTGACCTCACCACCCGGTAGCAGCAGTAAAGGGTCAGCAGGCCCATCAGCAGGATGATGCACACGCCGGTCGTGAACCCCGCCTGTTCGAGACAAAACGCAGAGCGGCACACGCATCACGTCAGAGCGAACACTGACGCCGCCATGGGACGCCGCCCTACGTGACCCTGAGAAAAACCTGGCCAGCAATTACAATAAAGACATCCCTCTTCATGTAGAATTAAGTATTATCATCTGCTCTTTTAAAAAACTGATGTAGATTTATTAAAACCAATACTCCAAAAAGAACAAGAATTCAGGCTGAAAAATGACATTACCTGCTTCACAAATAAAAAAAAGCTAAAGAAGTTCATCACCGCCAAACCAGAATTATATGAATTGCTGAAGGGGGTTATTTAGGAAGAGGAAGAAGATAAAGTTAAAAATTATGAACAACAAATACGTAACTATCAACCAGTGAAACTAAAAACCAAGGGAATTAAAAAAACCTGATGAACAATATTAACTGGTGAATATATTGTAATAGAATCAGAGGTATGGAAGGGGAGTGGACTGACGATTCTCGGGATAAAGGGGAGTGGGGGTGCGGGAAGAGACTGAACAAAAACTGTACACCTATGAATGAGGACAATGGGCGATGGGGAAAGGACAGAGGGTGGGGTGGGAACCTGGTGGAGGGGCGCAATTGAGGGGGAGGGGAAAGAGGATCACATTTGTAACAATCTGAACAATAAAGATTTATTAAATTTGAAAAAAAAATAAAGTAAAAAAAAAATGACATTACCTGCTTGATGCCCCAAGGAATACTGAGAATGGAGGTCCCCATCATGGTGTTCCAGATCATGAAGCTGGAACAGAGCGGCAGCGGGCGGGGTTACTCCGAAGAGCTTCCCGGGACAGCGCCCGCGGCACCCCCCGCGCCAGGCCCACTCGCGCCCAGCCCCCGCGGCGGCCGGCGGACTCACATGGTCACGAGGCTGCTGTTCCTCCCCGAGCCCTCGGGGCAGCTCTGGAGTTTGCTCGCGGAGCCGAGCGGGCTGTACACGTAGCGCTCCTCAGGCGCCGGCACCACGTGGTCCGGGGCAACCTGTGACACGGACACGCATGCTGCCTGTGACACGGACACGCAAGCTGCCTGTGACATGGACACGCAAGCTGCCTGTGACACGGACACGCAAGCTGCCTGTGACACGGACACGCAAGCTGCCTGTGACACGGACACCCAAACTACCTGTGACACGGACACGCAAGCTGCCTGTGACACGGACACACAAACTACCTGTGACACGGACACGCAAGCTGCCTATGACATGGACACGCAAGCTGCCTGTGACACGGACACGCAAACTACCTGTGACATGGACATGCAAACTACCTTTGTAATGGACACACAAACTACCTGTGACACGGACACGCAAACTACCTGTGACATGGACACGCAAACTACCTGTGACATGGACACGCAAACTACCTGTGACATGGACACGCAAACTACCTGTGTAATGGACATGCAAACTACCTGTGTAATGGACACACAAACTACCTGTGAAGTGGACATGCAAACTACCTGTGACACGGACATGCAAACTACCTGTGACATGGACATGCAAACTGCCTGTGAAATGGACACGCAAACTGCCTGTGAAATGGGCATGCAAACTACCTGTGACACGGACACGCAAACTCAGGGACGGCAAATGCCACTCAGTGTGTCTCCTGTGTGTCAGAGCACCCGACGCCAGACACACGTCCAAGCGTCATGAGCAGACGACAGACACATCCCGATAACACACGTTCTCCTGCACACAGTGAACCCTGCAGGGCGAGCTCGTGAGGGCTGGCCCCCAGGAGCCCTCCATCCGAAAGGCGGGAGGCCTGGCCACGCAGCCCCCACGTGGGACTCCCCTCCTCCGTCCGGGAGCGGAGAGGGGTCGGGAGGCCCAGGTCAGGAGGCTCCGGCAGCCTGGCCTCCGGGGGGGAGCCTCCAGACGAGGTGGGATGGATTCTGAGTGAGGGGGGCGGCCCGCAGGGAGGGGCTCCCACTGTTAGGGGCGCAGGAGCGGCCAGGGGAGAAGGAGCGCTGCCGTAGGCCCCTCGGACCCTGCGGTGGCTGGAGGGAGGGGGGCAGCGCAGCGTAAGGAAAATGATGGGTAAACACCTTCATTAAAAACGGTCGTATCCATTGCTAATTTTAGATCAACCGTGTATGTGCTTGGATTCACCAGTCACCTCACAGCCGGTCACAGAAGGGCTTCCCCGGGGTGCACGCTCACCGAGTATCCCGGCAAACCACACACAGCTGGCCCGCCCGGGCAGGCCCGCCATGGCTGCCTCCACAGGCGGAGCTGCAGGGTCTGACCAGATCCGAGCTGCTGGGCTCCCTGTGCTCCCAGAGGCTGACGCAGTCCTGGGATGAAGCCAGGACTCACCACCACCACGGACGGGAAGGCCTCAGGAGGAATCGGTGAAAAACTGGGGGAATCATCTCCTCCGGAATGTTCTGGAAGCCCCTGCTTTGGCTATGCACAAGGTCATAATGCCTCCCAGTGCTTAGCATGAGCTCTCCACGAGGGACTGCCCAGCCTGCTCCCCAGCCGCCGGCAGAAAGCTGCTCCCTTCCCACGCTGGTGATCACTCAGGAAAAGCACCGTCTTCTCTCTCAGAACGCCTCCTGGCTCTGTAAGCTTTGAAGTTTCTGAGTATCTCTAACGTGCTACTGCTTATAGGCAACCAGCTACTGAAAACCCATGTTTTTGGTCCTCGGCTAGCAATGCAGTATGAGGAGGTGAAGGTCAGGCACCCCAGTCCGGGGCCGTGGCCTCCCTCCGGGCCCCCAGCACAGGGTAAGCAGCCTCTCCCGCAGCAAACCGCCGGCTGTTGTCAACACGGGGAGAGGTTTGGCGTGCCAGGCCCCGCGGGAACGGCCTGCCGGAGGGAGGACGGGCACAGTGAGCCGCGTCTGACTTTCCATGACGCCACCCTGGGACCGGGACCAGCGGAGCCGAGCCCGGAGCCGCCCGGCGGCTGCTCCCGTCCATCCTGAGCCCCAGGCGGCGGCGGCCTTACCAGCGCCTGGTCTGCGGGGGCCGCCAGCCGGCTGTAGTAGTGGATCCGCTTGCTCATGGCTGCGGCGCGGTCGCTGACCCTCTGCGCCACGTGGCTCGCGCCGACGATGTTGGTGGGCTCCACGTGGAAAGGCCTGCGGAGGGAGACACTTGTCAGACATCCCGGAGGCTGGGACCAGGGTGCCTGCCCTCGGGGGGTCAGGAGGCGCTGGGCCAGGCTGCCTCCCACGCGGGCAGGAAGCGCACAAAGGGAGCCTTCTCCGGCGGGCTCTGCCCACCACGCCCGGCCGCTGAGCTGCCCTTTAAAGGAAGACAGCAGCAGAGGAGACAGAGCAAAGGGCCTAGCCGCTGTTAGAACAGAGCGGCTGCCAGTTTTCACCCACAGACTCAGACCCACTCTCCTGGGTCTGATGGCATTCAGAGCTTGGCGTTCTCTCATGGGGCTGCTGGCCCTGAGTCAGAGAGACCGACAAGAACGTCCCTCCCTGTGCTGGGGGCCACCCCGGGCCCAGCAGCTCCTGCCATGTGGCCCGTGTGCCCAGGCTGCGAGGCCGACCCCGGGGACGGCCGGGGGAATGTCCAGACGCCAGCTCTCACATGTGCCGAGTTCAGCTTTGCCTGGAATTCAGTGACACGTCCTATTTGGTGAGCTCCTGCTCATGCCCTGTCCCCAGAGCTCAGACTCTGCGTGTCAATCACCACTCTGTCTCCACCCCTCCAGGGCCTCCCTGAAACCCCCGCCTGTGCTCTACGCATCCAGGGGCCCCCTCCGCCCAAGGAGGCGAGGCAGAGGCACGGAAGGAGCCCTCCTCTGCGGATGCCCAGGCCGCCGTGGCACACGGTCTGCACCCCACACGGCCAGGAACGCGCCATTTCAGGAGGGAAGACCGGGGCTTTGTCACTGGTTCCGTGCGACTTCCCTGCACGCTCGGCTCTGAAGGCCGCTGAGGACGCACAGAAGAGGGGCCGTCATTTCTGAAGACACCGCCGAGCTGGAGACCCAGGGACTGGAGTCTAACTTCTGCCGCTCGAGAGAAACGGCGGGAGAGGCGGGAGAGCAGCCTTGTGTCTCGGGTGAGCACAGATCTCCGGATCGCTATGACTCATCCCCCGCGGAGCACTCGGAAACGGAGGGTACGTTCACTCTAACCAGCTCAGGTCCAGGAAGGGCCCTCACCAGGCCGACGCGTGGCTGCGAGACCGTGGGACCTACTCTGGGACCTGGCAGAGAAGCGGAAGGAAGCGAGCGGCCTCCATAGGCCTCACGTGGACGGGAGGGGAGGAGGGTCAGAGGGGAACACCGGCCTGCTTACACATCAGAAGCCTGAGAAAGCCCCCTCACAGCGTCACACTGTCTGCGGAATTTAGGCCAGGATGGTGACACTCAGCAGGACTAAGAAGCAATGCAAAAACAGTATGTCTGCCCGGCTGGTGTGGCTCCGTGGTTGAGCATCCACCCAGGAACCAAGAGGTCGCTGGTTCAATTCCCAGTCAGGGCACACGCCCAGATTGTGGGCTTGATCCCTAGTAGAGGGGCGTGCAGGAGGCGGCCGATCCATGATGTTTCCCTCTCACGGATGTTCCTATCTCTCTAAAAACCAAAAGAAACATTTAAAAAAAAACTATGTCCGGGAGACGTGATCATCCCTGGGAGCTCACGCCCACAGGGCTCCCTTGTTCTGCAGCAACGACACCCAAAGCTCAAGGAGGGGTTACAGCCTTGATGTTGCTTAGGAGGGGACGGGGCCCAGCCCGGGAGCAGCAACGGGACCGAGGAGCGCGGCCCCGACAGGGACAGGGACGTCCTCCTGCAGCCGCTGCTCTGAGCCGTGTGTCAGTCAGGTCAGTCCCGGACTGATCGCGGCCGGCAGGCAGGCATCAGGGTGCTGCCTCCCTGGCTGCCCGGCCCCCACCGGGCTGCCACCTGTACCCGCTCAGTGGGCTCCACGGTATCTGAGCAAAACCACTCGGAAAGTTTTCCTTTTCCGACCGTTTTCATAGAGATGCTCTGCGCCTGTTCACACAAATATTTGGGCATCTTTACAAAATAGATTCTCTTTAAAAATATACAACTCAGCATATTTCAACGGAATTATTAGAAACAGATGCTTAGAGCTTCATCTCACAGAGCAAATACAGAACTTAGACGTCTAAACTGAACTTTCGCTGGATCTGAAAACACTTTTAAAATGAACGCTCTGTTGGGAGAACCCGTTCGGAAGCAAGGACGTGAGACTCGGGCCTTCCTTTGCCCGTGTCACACGACCGCTTCCTCCCCACGTTCCTTGGCCGTCCCACCAAAAATACATCACAGAATTTCATGTAGCTGTCACATTCGTCTGGCATTCTATTTATGGCCGCGCTGCAGAAAAAATGCATTTAACCTTCAGCAAGATTTAAAAAATAGTTTAACTTATGACTCAAAATCCCGCATTTTTATTTAACATCCTTGTAAACAGAGAAGCCTTATTTCCACCACCGCCTTTCCCGGGTTCCACTGCTTACATTCCTCGGACGCTTTGGCTCTCGCCTGGGCCTCCACCCTCCTGCCCGCCGGCTGCCCCTCGGAAGGTTAGGAGCAAGCACGACCGGACGGTCACCCTCGGGAGGAAGGCCCTGGCCTACAACTGCCCTTCTCGTGCACGGCCAACGCCCGGCACCCAAACCCCTGCCGATGGGCCGTGCGGAGAAGAAAACGAAAAGGGGATCAGGATTAAAAAAATATCAGGCCAATGAACACGCACAGAACGGCCCACCTGCTCGCAGCTCCTGTGTATATGTGTGTTTGTGTGTGTGGGGGGGGGCATGGGGGGGTGGCTGCGGGTCTGCCAGCGGCTCTCGGGAGCAGGAGGAGCTGAGCGAGCGTAGGACCAGCCCCACTGCGGGATGCCCTGGGACCCGGGCCTCCGCTGGTGCCCACAGGACTTCCTGGCACAGAGCACGGCCCCTCACCTCGGCCCACACCGTCCCCAGAGGCCCACCATTCTCTTTCTATGCCGGGTTCTCAAACCTATCTACTTCCTGCAGGTTTCACACCAGTCATTCCCATTCACAGACCCGCCCTGCAGCCACTGTGTGTGGGAACAGAGCGACCTCACGGAGGGTGGAATTTACCAGCGATTTCAACAGACACTTCGAGCTGATTGTTGAGCAAGATGGACGTGGGATTCATATGAGTCTGAGTTACTAGCTGGCAGCTAAATGCTTTTAAAAAATAAAGGCATATTCAATTATTGCCGATGACATTATAAAGTCAAAAGTTTTGGCGACTGTTAATGAGTAAAAGGTGATTTGTCAAGGTTAATTATGACATCTTACAATTTTAGATGCGATTTTCACGGTTCATAATGTACACAGCACACACATAGGATCTCAAACACACAGGCACATACACGCGGACAGGCACTGCACTGCTTACAGACTGTCCCTCTGCCCGTCGCTGTAAGGGTGGCCTGACTTCTCTAAGAACAATTTCAAGTTCTTTTCATGCAAGTCAGGCCTTCAAATTTTGGTTTTAAAAATATGTGTAAGTTGTTTTAATTCTACTGTTGTGAAAACACTCTTTTCTCTGTGGCTACAAAGTGACGGGCAAGAGAAAGGTGAGGGGTTTTGTGTTTTGTTCCTGCTATCAGCCTACCCCAGTGGTTGGTAAACTCCTTAGCCAACAGAGCCAACTATCAACAGGACAACGATTGAGATTTCTTTGGAGAGCCACATTTTTTAAACTTAAACTTCTTCTAACGCCACTTCTTCAAAACAGGCCGTGGTATTTTGTGGAAGAGCCACACTCAAGGGCCAAAGAGCTGCATGTGGCTCACGAGCCGCAGTTTGCCGACCACGGCCCTAGCACAAGGCTGAAAGGCTAATGGAAACGTGGGTCCAGTTCAGAAGCACCTGTAGGTAATACCCACCGACAGGTCAGCTCCCAGCCGCTGTGAAGCAGCGGCCCAGCCCTGCGGACGCCAGCCCATCCGCCCATCCGCCCATCCGGGAGGCAGCCCACTCCGCACTGGAGTGACACTCAGCAAAGACAGGTCCGGTGTGGGAAAACTCCCCAAGCGGCTCCTCCTTTAGCCACTGGACAGGAACGTCAAATAGATCACAGGCGGCCTTATCTTAATTAAACACAGTTAAGATGGCCCGCTGAATATTTTGAAATAAAGAGCTTGTCTTAATTCTAAGAAAAGGGCCGGCTTCCGCCTGCGGTATCGTGCCAATTATTACTCTCCTACACAAACCTACCAGAAGAATTTCTGGGAAAAAGTAGCATTTCAAGTTTCATAACCTAACTATTCCCCATTAAAAAAAAAAAAAAAAAAAAAAAAAAATGCCAGAGAGAACAATGCCCGGCCAGCATTTTAACTAAAACTTCCTCCCAGCTCCAGGCTCAGAACAGGCGACTGTTCTGAGCTAAAGGTGACCGAGCCCCTCGGGCTCCAGGGGGACATCTGCCCCCACCAGCCTGGGGGGCTCTAAGGGAGGGGCCTCGCTCCCCCCGGGGCCAGGCTCAGAAGTGACTTCCTGGCAGAGCCAGCCTCTCATCAGGAGCACGTGCTCTGTTATCTGTGGGCCTGGCTCCCCTCCCAGGCCCGGGGCTGGGCCTGCCCCAGCCCAGGTCACCTGGGCCTCAGGTGCCTTGCTGTGCCGGCCTCTCCGGGACGCGGGGTCTGCCTCTCCTGTGTGTGCGGCTCCCACACACGCGCCGTGAAATGGGGTCACTCTCTCGTGTCAATCTCTCAGGAAGATCTGATGACCGGGCCCGCAGGCAGACACCAGAGGGGAGAGGGAGGGTCTCCCTCCCCCACAGCCAGCTCTCCACCCTCTCCCTCCCACCCACACACAGGATCCCTCCGAATGCCGCTTCTCCAAATTCTGTGGACGAGGAAGAGGAGGGGGAAGAAAATAAACCACGGCTGGTTTGTGGGCAAGGCAGAAACAAACAGAATCGGAAGGAATTCGGGGGGGGGGGGGGGGATTGGGGCAGGCATCTGGGGAGAGAAGGTGGGGAGGAAGGATCCGAGAGGGCAGGTTCTGTGGAGCAGAGCTCAGATCCCACTCCGTGGTCACATCTCCGTATGAAAGCTCTCGAACCCGGGCTGGGCTGTCTCCCAGAGCCTTTAGCAAAGCAGTGACA